TATGTGTGTGCATTTTTTGGTGTACCTGCATGTGTGAGCGTATGTTTGTATGTATTTGTGTATGTCCAAGTACGTTTGTACATAGATGTGTGTGTGCGTTTTTACGTGTGTGCATCTTCATGTGTGTTTGTTTATGTACGTATTTGTGTGTGTGTGTGTGTATTTTTGTCTTCCTGTATATGTCTATTTATATATTCATGCGCCTATATGCATATTTATCTGTATATGTCTGTGTGTGCGTGTCTGTACGTGTCTGTGTGTGCGGGACTGGGTGGCTGTCCATTTGTATGTGTTTGTGAGCAGTCGCTGGCATATGACCACGTGCTTTGTACACGTCACCATTCACGTTTCGAGTGCGTAGCGGGTTGCTTTATGCTCCGAGGTTACCGGGTCCGTTGCGTGATGGATAGCACGTGATTCCACATTTGGGCCAGCGGTGAGGGGATAAGGACTGTAGTTTTTCACGTGGACATGTCATATCCCGATTCCTTTACAACAAACGTAAAATTGAATTGATGCATTATTTTGCAGAAGAAATTCGAGAAACGTGAGTATTTGCTTGAAGCGGTGTAATGTTATTGCTGATGATGATTTTGTTGGGTCTATGGCATTAGGCATGAAATCAGCTATCCTGCTACTCTCAGAAACCTCAGGTTTGTTCAATAAAATATCACTCATTTTATTACAGTATTATTTTTACTATTCGATTTTTTTTAAAATATATTTCACCTCCAAGTTCCGCGCTAGCGCATGCTTTCGAATCACCGAGCCGCTAATGCGGTCGTGAAAATAATAACAACAAAAGTAAAAATAACGAATAATAAAGTAATAAACAAAAAATAATATTAACAGCAATATTAGTGACTCCGAAAACAGTAATAATAGAAATAAAATGGAAGTGATCGGAGCGATAAAAGCGTCTAAATGTGAAGCGGTAATGACAAAATAATTAGTAGCGATGGAAGCACTATGATTTTAATAGTAATGAAAATCGTAACTTGTAAGCTTTCAGTTGTTTATTTTTTGAGATTTCGGCGTTTTTTCATGCAGCAAGAAACCTCTGTAATTTCTGAAAATAATTTAGTAATTGGGAGCTTGAAAAATCCTATGGTTGATTGTTGGAAGCAGAAATACAGTGATTAAAGCAAGAACCGTGTTGCTTTTAAGATCTAATTTCAACCGAATTGACATTTCGAATTTTCGTACTTTTTAGAAGTGTTTGAAGCTTAAGTTTAAGTTTTATTTGTGTTGTCTTGTGAAGCCAGCTGCTCTGTGATAAGAAAACCGTGCAGCTGTTGAGAACTGAAGCTGAAGCTTAAGATGTTTCGTTTTTGGAGCATTCTAGCATACTGCAGGAAATATGCGCGATATTGGCAAAATTTAGAAGAAAAAGTGGTTGCACCCACGGGCAGATTATAAAAAGTCTCTTATGCTTGCTGAATAGGCGGCCTAGGTAAAAAAATCGAATGATTCTGCGTGTTGTTTTTAGTGATTTAATTTCGCCAGGGCTGATCGATCGGCTGCCTGTGAGTAGCGTTATCGTTAGTACACGAGAAGGGTGGTACTTTTCTTTTTCCATTATCAGTGCACTGATTTTATCAGCACTAGGCCATCGTTATAATATGTGCTACAAAATCGAACCTAACTTTTGCCCTCCAATGCCTTAAAAAAAAAAAAAAATAAAAACTATAGGTCTAGAAAGAAATTTCTAATTATAAATCATGCGACGAATTAAATTGCCAAAATTATGAGCTTGCAACTTTCTGCGTTTTTAAAATATAACATTAGCCTGAATTTGGGTCAGAAGTTTTGAATTATAACTCAAAGACTGATTTTTCTTAAATTTCAGACTTAGAACCCCTTGCATTGCTGGAAAGTCCTGTAAACAGTAATTTAGCTTATTCTGTTGCAAAGTGAAGGAGTGAGTTCTCATCAGAGCGGTTTAGTTTTAGCATGAGTGCGCTTGGTCGTGATGTTCGTCAGGCAATGGTGGAATATACGCCGATGATCATATTTGTTGTTATATTTGTTGCTGTACCCATCCAGTTCCTCCTCTCACCGTCCTCAACGTCCGATGTTCGGTATCACCTGCACAAGTTTGTCTTACACTGTCGTCCTGTTGGTACCATGTGTGTTTGATCTTAGAGTAAAGTGCGCTTGCGGGCATCCACTCCCGTCCTCTTCTAGAATTCCAACTGCTACACGCATTTTAATAATTTTTTTTTTTTTTTTAATAAGAATAGTTTTGTTAGTGGTATTTTCCCGACTTTTTGTGGTTAATTTTGCATATCACTTAAACGGTTGTCGTAGTATCTTCTCTCTCATCGGCAACGCTGCGGCAAGTTTATTAAGAAAATCGTTTGTAAGTTAGCGTTACTGCTGCGCGGCAAGCCTCTTCTGTAGATTTGTTCCTCCCCTTCCCCTCCCCTATTTTATTATTCTTTGAATTTACTCTCTTTCACTTTCCTTAAAATTCTAACACTTTTCGTTATACAAATTTATTACATTTTATTTATTTCTTTCATCAACATCATAACCATCGTTTTGATGGGATCAGCTGTGATATTTGATGGGAATGGCTATGACTTGATGGACTGAAACATCCCTGTTCAACAAACTTTTTTAGTGTATACATATTTTAATTTCATATTTTAATATATGTATTTTATATATTTACAATTAATATCTGTACTACCTGATTTTTTGTTTATCTTCTCGGCATCCTGAGAAAAATGCAGCAAGGGAGTGGAAAGCTTGACATAGTATAGCTGCGTCGGTTTGTCCTTCTCAGTGGCTTGAGTAACCTCCATCCCGACTTACCGCTTGGTTTTAGTTATCTTGATTTTTTTCTCAGCGTCTTAACAACAAAGTAATGATAAAATTCTAATTACCCTAACCCCGTTCTTTTCCTCCTTACAATTCCTCATCAGCTGATCAGCTTCTCAAGCCTTTTTTATGCTTGAACTTTTATTTAATTTACACTAATTTCCTTCGATCTGCGACGCGGAAAGGGGGGAGGGGGAGGAGGAGAAAATGAATAGGAGCAGCGAGTCTTCGAAGTATTCGTGAAACTCTTTGAGAAAAGATTCATTTTTATGTTTTAGTTATAATCGCGAGGTATGTTTGGGCTTGCTAGTTCGTAAATCACCTTGTATTTTTTTTTTTTTTTTTTTTTTTTTGG